GTTATCAAGGACATCGTTGACGGATTCAAGTGCCCAGACGATCTCACGGGTGCCGTCCAGTCGGGTTGTGCTTCAGTTAGTAATGCCGGTGAGTCAAGTTGTCTCGAGCTCAGTTGTTGGTTATTGATGTGGAACTGAACAACTGGACACATCTGTCTCACTGTACGCGGGCACCAATTGTTACCGGTAGTCATCGTTATTGCTTCGGCGGTCATTGCTGCGTTGAACATCGTGCATGACGTCCTCTACATGATTTTTGACACTCTTATTGGGCCAAGCGATGCGGCTGCCGTGGAATCATACGAGAACACAGCCGCAGTCTTTGACAACATGGAGATCATGTACCAAAGAATGCATGAGGCAGAAGTGCGGCAACAGGAGAAACTATCTTCCATGGAAGAGAAACTAACATCCATTTTCGAGGCCACCGTGTCCGAGGAGAGGAAGCTGTCGGAGTTGGACCACACCGAAAACCAGTCGTTGGCGGGTTGAGGACGAGACAGGCGAGGGAAGGTCGAGCGCTGAAGCCAACTGGCTAGCTGCTCCCACTTTTGCCAACACTCGACAAGCCCAAGACAACCAAAGCATTCAGAAAACAAGAGAAAACAACAACAAAAGCATTCGGAAAAAAAAGCAGACAAGACAAGAAAAGATACTGAGGAAGGAGAGATCGAATGGATTAAATATAATAATAATTAAATGTGAAGAAACTTATAGACCTGTATACTAATTTATTAATCATCCCGCAGGGTTCCCGCGGGTCAGTCAAATTCATTTTTGAAATGTGCCTTTTCTATCACGACATTTTTTATCAACGAAAGTCACAATACAATAACTCAATATAACGTTTCCTCAGGACATACATATTTTTACAAATGAGGTGAATCTAACATTTAAAGGGAATGTAGAATAGAGGAGCACTACGGAAATCTAACTTATTGCGTTTATGCAATGCTAGAGTCTTCAAAATAACTTCACATTATTATTCATTCGTGCTTTAAAAATCCATTCACGGATTGTGTGGAACTATCGTAAGTTGATCATGAGTTTAAAACAGCTATAGTTTGTGGCCGCGGTATTATTATATTAGTACCACAGAGCTCATGCTATTTTGCTCAAGTGAAATGTTATAGGTAGAGGAAACCATGGATTTGTGATATCTATTGCTTCGGTTGATTTTTGAAATAGGAATTATGGTATTTGTAGCCATTTCATGAAATCAGTTCACATTATTGCCATTCCAGTTGTTAGCATTAATATTTGCAAGTGGGTTGCTACCAGCATGACCTTCAATAGGACCATTTCCAACGTAGGTATCCTCGTGTAAGTTGATAAGTGGCATTCATGGAGGGTGCATGTAATCGACGAGCATCCCCAAGACGTCACCAAGTGCTTCACGCAAATGGTCGAATGTGTAGTATTGCAAATGAACCTTGTTACGCTGACAGTATCTGATTACATGTTCCAGGTGCCAGGCCCTTAGGTAGAAACATGCCGCAAAGCACAAAGCCGATTGCCATGAAATGCATTGTTTAAAAAAAAAAATCTTTATAACGGATATGGCCCCAATGGACGGATCATCACTGTGCTGCAGCCGAAGCTTTGGGTAACCGCTCCCGGCCG